GTCTGAAAGAAGAAAGTCATATACACCTAGGATGCCTCGGGGGTGAGTGAAACGCAGCCTAATTTTCATTTTGGGGCGAACTAACCCTTTAATGCATAAAAATTAAGGTTGAACCACTGATGTCACATGGACTATTTTAACGATGTCCTTACTACCTTTCTGGACCTTGAACGTGTCAGTTGTGTTGCTGTCTATGCAGGGTCAGAACAGATTTCATCAAAAATATCTTAATTTGTGTTCCGATAATGAACAAACGGTCTTATGGGTTTGAAACGACATGAGGGTGAGTTATTAATGACAGAATTTTTGGGTGAACTAACCCTTTAAATATTTTATTATGAGGCTTTGAGTCTTGAGCTTATGAGTAAGTATACTTATAGTTATATCCAATTTTTGCCATAAAAAACCTCTAATCCCTGCTAGTTTTTGCATAGTGTTTGTGCAAAGATACAAAGAAAGGAGGTGACAACTTACTGGTTTACGTGGAGCATCTTGGATCAGCAGAAGAACATAAATTTGACTCCTTCCTGTGGTCGGCATACGTTTAACATGAAAACCAGCCACGTAAACAGACTAATCAAAACACGTCTACTATGTTTTTACCAGGCACCCGGATTACGCTAGTGACAAATTGCTAGACCAGTAGTTGCAAAATGACAATTTAGACAACTTTGCAGCTCAAAATTGTATGTGTTTTCTAAAAGATTTAAAGTGAAGAATTAAAGTGCTTTAACAAAAAACATCCTCCAATTTCTGCCTTTAAACTTCATTTAACTCCATTAGGTGCCTTATTCTAACCAACATTTTGGAGTCATTGAAATTATTTTCTATGTTAATTAACATTCCTTTAGCCTGATAGTAATGGACCGGGGCTGCTAATATAAAAGGTTCAGGTTGCATCCAGGTGGCGGTAAACTTGAAATAGAGACTAACTAACATGTCACATGTGCCCTTTCACCAGCTAGACTCTTAATTGCAGGTTACTCCAAAGGGATTGTCCCTGTATTGAGCGCACTATAACAAAAGCATCAGCTAAATGACAGTTAATTACCAAATCTGCAGTATTTGATCTCTGCCCCTGAGAAATTCAATTATGAAGCAGTAGCACCAGTAAGCACTACTGCTATCTTAACAAGTACAGAAAAATCTATGAAATAGTAGCTTCTGCTTTTAATGAACCTTATTTCATTTGCATATAGACGCAAGGTGCAGAAAATGTTTGGTTTTGCCTGCCAATCATAAACACAGCCTCCTCACACTTGCTGATTTGCATCATTGTGAAGCCGCCCTGGACTCGCTCACTAGCAATTATCCTTGGGTTTTTTCTCCATCTTACCATAAACATACACCCACAAGTCATCATGTTTAAACACAGCCCCTATACTTTGGGCTCAAAAACAAACCTCATGCCTGTGTAAATATTTAGTCCACACAGGTGTGATTTAACTTGACAGGGGAGAAACTCCCGGTGCGGTTGCTCCCTCCTCCTTTTAAGTTAATTGGAGCTTGATCATTGATTTTGGCTGGTATGGTGGTAACAGAAGTGTTTGTGCTACAAGGCAGTGAATATTAACAACCGTACCCCCTCAAGGCAGCCCGGTGTGACAGCGTGATTGACAGGCCGGCCTCTTCTGCATAAATAAGGACTTTTTGCACCTCGATCTCTTCAGAGAGCTAAATCCCAGAGCTGGGGAACTCTTCCCTCTTGCATGACAAACAGAACAACATCTCCGATTGCAAACAAGGCTGGGCTCCCTGAAGGAGGGCTGTTTTGATGAAGGATCTCATTTAGTGCTTTGGAGGCACGGCTGTAGCATGCGTCGTGAGGAGGTTTAGTTAGCCTGCGGCTGCCAGACACGGCCTACAGGACTTGGGGTTCCTCAATCTCGCCATTGATTTGGAGTGAAATAGCATAAATGTGCCGTTTTAGAAGTTTGCCCCTGGCATGCTGATGCAGGGCCGGGCCAGACTGTCGGAGTCTGATTACTGATCAGCATGGGCAGGCTGCCAGGAAACAGGGCTTTGGGTCCACTTTAATTATGTTCTGTCCACCTGACTAACCTTCAGCCGTCAAGCTCAGAAGGTATCCTCCTCCTCCAAGCTCTCTCTCTTTTCATTGCCTTTAAGAAAAACTGTTTATTATTGCTGTCTTTCTCTGTTTAAATCGTTGTGGTCTAAAGGTTCTTGAGTCAATAACGTGGCCATTTTTGTCTGCATCTATTAATTTATTCAAAAATACACTGACAAGGCAATTCATACACAATATGAATCAGATGCACCTATTTTATGATGGGCATGTTTTTCATTTCTGAATTAAAATGTATTTGGGTTTTAGGGTGACACAACTATCCTGATATCACAGTGAAAAAAACACCTGAAACTCTTTAAAAGAAATAATATTCATTCATTCATTCATTCATTCATTCTGCTTTCCTGCTTTATTATTTTATTTTATTTTATTTTTTAAAGTCTTGTGGTATGATGAGCATGCAGAAAAAATATATTAAACAGGAAATGATATACGTAGAGAGGACCCCTGCAGACTGTAAGACCCTCAAGGTCCGTAAGTCTCTTAAAATGACAGAAAATTTGAACTTTTTATGACAAGGCAAGGTTAGTTCAAGGTGTAAAAAAGTATATTTTTTAATTAATAATTCTTAATATTTGTATTATTGTAAAATAGCTCTTATCTTGAAAAATATAACATTGGTATTTTGTATTATTTTATAAATATATTATTTTTTATTTATTTATATTTTATGTAATAAAACTTAAAAAGCAAAATTGAAACTTAATCAAACTTAATAATTATTCATAATGAAATTGTACACTAAAAACATTCAAGGTGTAAGGAAAATATGTTATTACTTTTTACTTAATATATGACATTTTTACTTGTTGAAAATGTTATAAACATTTTTTGGAATAATATGAAACCAACATGAATGCAAAGTGCATTTTTTAAGTCTTTTAAAATCTTTTTATATTTTTCATACTCCTAAACACTAGGTATGTCTGAAATCGCATACTGATGAAGAACAAATTTTGCAGCTGTTAAAAAAAATATGTTCTACACTGAAAAATAATAATAAACTAAATGTGAAATTTGTGAAGTAGAAAAACAGAAATAGTATTTTGCTATAAAACAAACTCCAATAATCTTTGTTTTATTTACAACTTCAAAACATAATTTTACAGTGTAGTAATAACTTGTGTAGTGTGAATAAAAACCAACATATTACATCCGTCATGTTGTCATTGTCATGCGACTTATAGTATCACTTGTGTTGTTTTACTGTCATTCTGAACTGTTCTCCCATGGCCTTTTAGGATGGAAAATATCTAACATGCCATTAATGTAGTAGGTAATCTGGATATTTTTCACCTACTGTTTTATAAATACTTTGAATTCAGAAATGCTACTCATTTAATATACTGTTTTTCACCTTCTATACAGAAGGTAAGCAGGCATTTTTGTATAAAGGGATTGTCTGAAAGTCTCTTTGATGTGTAAAAACATTGTGCCCTCACATATTATACCATCTTACTATTATTGCTACATTGTTGAGGTCTAGTCATTACAGTCATGCACTATGAAAAAGCTTTGTTATCCACAGCTCAAAGTTCGCTCTTATGGCTTCCTCGACCTCTAGCGCTCTTTTTTTCTTCTCAATGTTATCTGTCTCCTTCCATTTGTACTTTGAACAGTGGCCTGCGGTGGAATGGTGAAAAACGTGACTCTCGGCCGCATTGTGTCTCCTGGTTTCCCTGGCAACTACAGCAACAACCTGACCTGCCACTGGGTGCTGGAGGCCCCTGAGGGTCAACGGCTGCACGTGCACTTCGAGAAGGTGGCCCTCGCGGAAGACGATGACAGGTTCGTCCCAGTCAACTCACTCAGTGCTCGCTATTATACACTAATTAGTCATCTGATGTTCAAAGAGACAGTTGGAGAAGCTCCGAGTGTCTCTTCACAGTGCCGTCACACTCCAAATGTGGTGCTGCTCTTCAGGGCATTATCTGCTACGGCGAGAGCGAGGCATGATAGGAACAGCTGTGAGAGCGTGAGTGAAAGTGGATGAAAGTTTCTGAGATCAGACACTTGCTCTCCTTTAAAATAATTTAGAATAATCAAATCCCCTAGTGAAGGCGCAGAGAGAGCGATTAGAGCCCACTCCAGGGCCTCAGGAGGAGGATTCAGTTATTTTTATTAGCGGTATCCGCTTTTTCTGCAGGCTTTGCTAACAAATGGACTTTTAATGAGGTCACTTGCTGCTCAGCTATTCAAAATCATATCAGGCAATTATTATGCAAACTGCCAAAAGACAGTACTAGAAATCGGGGGAACGTTACATCTGCTGCCAAACAGATACTGTTGAGAGATTCCTTGTTTTGAACCGAACAAAACCCTTATGTCTGCAGGTTTCTGATTAAAAACGGCAACCACATTGATTCACCGATTTTGTACGACTCGTACGAGGTGGAATACCTTCCTAACGAGGGAATTGTTAGTTCCGCCAGACATCTCTTCGTGGAGTTTACGACGGATGGTTTCGGCACCAACACGGGAGTAGCCATCAGATATGAAGGTATGGACCAACAAAGAATTTACAACAAATTTTCAGCAGTCAGAATGAATACAATCCAATACATTTCTGTTTTTATGAACCCTAAATGTTGCAGTCACATTGATATATTTGTTTACATCTACATTACAAGTATTCAAACAAAACAGTTCTCGGTCATAAGTGCCATTTTTGCCATGATGACAAATCCAAACAGAAAGACATGTATTTCAGAAGAGCTTTTTTAGGAAATATTTAGCAAATATATCTTCTCCACTGACCAGTTCGTAAGACTTGAGACAAAAACACACACGTTCGTAAGAGTTAAAGGGGTAGTTCACCCAAAAATTTTAATTCTGTCATTAATTACTCATCCTCATGTCATTCCAAACCCATAAAACCTTTGTTCCCCTTAATTCGGAACACAAATTAAGATATTTTTAATGAAATCCAAGAGCTTTCTGAACATGCATAGACAGCAATGCAACTACCAAGTTCAAGGCCCAGAAAGGTAGGACATATCTAAAATAGCCCATGTGACATCAGCGTTTCAACTGTAACGTTAAGAAGCTACGTGAATACTTTTTGTGTGCAAAGAAAACAAAAATAACGACTTTATTCAACAATTACTTCTCTTCTGTGTCAGTCTTCGAAGTCCTGACATGGAAGAGAAGAAATAAAATTCTTCTTAAAATTAAGGTTGAACCACTGATGTCACATGGACTATTTTAACAATGTCCTTACTACCTTTCTGGGCCTTGAACATGTTAATTGTGTTGCTGTCTATGCAGGGTCAGAAAGCTCTCGGATTTCATCAAAAATATCTTAATTTGTGTTCCAAAGATGAACGAAGATCTTTCAGGTTTGGAACAATATGAGAGCGAGTAATTAATGACAAAATTTTCATTTTTGGGTGAACTAACCCTTTAAAGCCTATGTAAACATGCACAGCATGTCCAAAAGGTATTTTTTAAAGTGATTGAGAAAATAGTTGGATTCCAGCTTAACAATAATGAGGACTTGAAAGCAGCCAGCATCTTTTCTAATCCATCCTCCGCTGGTTTGTCTCTGAGCCGGGCCGTACATGGCGACAGTTACCAAGTTCAAACGTCGTTTGAAGAACACGTGTCCTCTATAGAGCCTGAGGGCTGTGATGGAGACAAAGAGCGTACCTTCCGGCACATTCCCCTTGTTGCTTCGATTCACACCAAAGATCTGTTCTCCCATGTGCCTTGCTTAACACTCTTTAGATTCCTGGCTCAAATGAGATCTATTCAGATTAAATCAAATGGAAATCGAATGAAGCGGGCAAATGCAACCCGACAAGGTCATTAAAATGAGTTTTAACTGGAAACGCAGAGCCTTTTTTTAACAGAAATTGCATTCCTATTCCCTCTGACAGGTCAGTCGAACATGTGCAGTTGCATTTGTTCACAGGGATGTCAGGTACACCTCAGGACCTCACAGTCATTATCCAGCGAGATCAGTCTAATCTCATTTACCATGCCACAATCCGATTATGCTATCTACAATATACTAATGTGCCTTCACGGCAACCTGTAACAATTCTGCTTGTCTTCTCACGCTCCAGACGTCTCTCTGAATTTCACACCAGCCAGGCTGCTCAGGTTTTAATAGTCTTTCTGATTGAAGTGCCATTCCCCTTCATCTGCCATCATAAACAAAATGGATCTGTTTTTATCCATTTCAGTAGACTAGCAAAAGCATTGATCTGGAACTCTGTGGTTGTTGAGAGGCCACACGCGGAATACTCAGTCCTCTGAAGGCCTTTTAAACCATAATCATGTAAATCTATGTAGTAATTGCAGTTGAACAGAATAGTTTTATTTGTACATATTTGCTGAAATAAATGATTTTCAGAGCATTACCATAATTTTTAGAGATTAATTTCTCTTTTAGTGTAATGACCATGTTTTCTATGACAGTCAGTTTGGCTCAGAGAAACTTTAATAGCTGAAGTTTCTCTTTCATACCTTAAATGCTACTGATCAAATGTTAAATATATATATATATATATATAATTATTATTTTTATTTTTTTTTTTGATCACCAAGGCTGCATTTATTTAATCAAAATACAGTAAGAACTGCAATAATGTGAAATTATACAATTTAAAATAAATGTTTTCTATTTTAAGATATTTTAAAGTGTAATTTATTCCTGTGATGCAAAGCTGAATTTTACTCTAGTCTTCAGTGTCACATGATCTTTCAGAAAACATTCTTATATGTGATATGCGGTACAATTTTCAGTATTTCTTTCAGTATAGAAAGTTCATAAAAACAGCATTTATTTGAAATAGAAATATTTTGTAATATACATTTTTACTGTCACTGTTGGTCAATTTAATGTATCCTAGCTGATTAAAAGTTGTAAAAGTGTATTCATACCTTCATATTCATTCATCTATAGACTTAATGGAGTTCTGCTTTATGTTTAATTTAAGAATCAACTTTGTCCTAAAATTAGGCATTTTCTGACATATAGTAAAAGTACAAAACTGTAATGTTTGTATAGCATACCATCATGGCGAGGTAAAACATAGTACCTGTGAATTCTATGTTTTCTTTGTTTTAGAAGTGTCCCTATTGTAATTTAGTTTTGAAGGGATTTTAATGAGAAATGTTTGACTTCATATTTCGATACATAACTTTTGTGTCTTTGAACATTGAACAAAAGTTTGAGATATTGTTGGAGATCTCTTTGAAAACTCTCTTTTCTCGGGAGGAAAATCTTTCTTACCATTTAATCTAATTGCTGCTTGGGAGAAATAACTGAGACATTAAAGAGATTTCATCTCTGTTTTTTCTTCCTATTGGGACTTCACTCATAGCAATAACATAAAATGCACATAAATTATGCACTGTCTGGAACAAATTACTCTTATTTCCATATAAATTTGACTTTTATGCTGATACCATCTTATATAATGATTGTTTCTATGCTTATAAGAGAGCAAGAATCACCTGATGATTAAAATGACTAATTTCTACTTCTTTTAGAGAACGGAGTCAGATGAAGCCAAAGATGAATATTGCAAATGTGTCTGGGGAAGGGGGTGAAAACAGTTTGCTGTAATTGGCAGAATCGCCTGTGTTTGCTGAATGTGGGTAGTCTAATCTAGCTCACGCTTGAATGAGGCCGGACCCGGAGGGATATCAAAGCCACTGTTTCTCCATCGTCTGAACATCCTCATCTTAAGTCTCCTTCTCTCGCTCTAATCTCTATTCTACATTCTCAGACGAGCACAACAACCAATAACGGTTCAGCCAGGCGTGACAGTTTGTTGTTTCCCTGAGTGAGTTTGTTCATTCACGTTTCACATTTATTCACATTGTCGGGCCGTCTCTCTTCCTTTTACACCCGTAAGTGACCTTGCAAGTCTGGCTAAGGATGATTAACTAACAATCTTTTTCCAAGGGCAACCAGAAACCTTGGGTTTGCGTCCAGGAAGATTATGATTGGTGGGAAAGTAAAACGCTGCACATTGCTTTAGCAGACAAATTCTTTTAGACTGCCTTCTAAAAACGCTTTCAAATTCGGATTCTGCGCTGTCCTTTCGGACTAAATTATTTTGTTAAGCGTTTAAAGGCTGAGCCGAGCGGACTGGTTGTCTGTGTGTGTTAAGCTCTTCTGAAATCAGATGCTTGGTGATAGTGTTTGGACTGTGATGTGCGTCTCGGCGCAGGTGATTTATGGTGTATCCTCTCAGCTTTTGCAGCAGGTCACTGCTACGAGCCATTCGTCAAGTACGGCAACTTCACCACCACTGACAGCACCTACGCTGTGGGCACGGTCGTGGAGTTCACCTGTGACCCCGGATACACCCTGGAGCAGGGCTCTGTTATCATCGAGTGCATGGATCCCAGCAACCCTCAATGGAATGAGACTGAGCCCGCCTGCAGAGGTGCGTGTGAATGTTTGCATATGTATATGTACCAGAGTTGAGCCAAATACAGAATTGAATCAGTGGCTGCCTTTCAGTTCATGAGAGTGAATGTGAATCTGTCCGTAAGGCTTAAAATCTTTCCAATTTCAAGGCTTTATAAACATTTTGGTTACTTTATTTTGATAGTCCACTTTAGACATTCTACTAACTATAAGTAACTTTGCAACTACATGTCAACTAATTCTCATGGATTCACAACTACATGTCTACTAACTCTCAGATTAGACTGTTAGGTTAGGTTTAGAGTTAGTCAATTAAGTTGACATATACTTGCAAAGATTCTTATAGTCAGTATGTTGTATGTGGTGGGCCTATCAAAGTAAAGTGTTAGGAGATATTAAGCAGACAGTCTACTAATACTCTAATGACTGCTAGTTGACATTTGGTTGCAAAGTTACTTACTGTTAGTAGAATGTTTGTCTTTGTCTTCAGTTCATTTAATTCTTCTTCCTTTAAAATTGCATTCAAACTCGAATTGCAATTCTGCCTCCTTTTTGCAACCTCATTTCAAACACAATTCTGAATGGCACGCAAGCCTAATATTCTTGGTTAATATTCAACTCTGGGTTGAATTTACTAAAATGTAATTTTAATAATAAAGTTTATATTAAAGGGGTCTTATGATGTTGCTAAAAAGAACATTATTTTGTGTATTTGGTGTAATAAAATGTGTTTATGCGGTTTAAGGTTCACATTCACAACACATTCTTTTCCACATACTGTACATTATTGTTTCTCCTCTATGCCCCACCTTCTGAAACGCGTTGATTTTTACAAAGCTCATCTTTGAAAAAGTCTGGTCTGAAAAGCGAGGTGTGCTCTGATTGGCCAGCAATCCAGTGCGTTGTGATTGGCCGAATACCTCAAGCGTGTGACGGAAATGTTACGCCCCT